GAAAAAGAAGGAAGGGGGGGACGTTTGGATGGTGGCGTCTTGTCTTCCCAAGTAACTGTTACTGATAGAGCCCTGCTTTCCTAGAGATGAGATGGCTGAACACCTGCCTGCCGATGGGAAGGAGTGAAAATTCCTTGGTCCTAGAGATGAGATGGCTGAACACCTGCCTGCCGATGGGAAGGAGTGAATGAATTCCTTGGTTTGCTTTGCTCACGCGTGGGGTTTTTGCTTTGCCTATTAAACTGTCTTTATCTCAACCCACGAGTTTTCTCACTTTTACCCTTCCGATTCTCTCCCCCATCCCACTGTGAGGGGAGTGAGCAAGCGGCTGTGTGGTCCTTAGTTGCCGGCTGGGGTTAAACCACGACAGCCTTTCAATATTACAGTAATATTTATGTACTCTGCCTACCTAGTCCCATCCAAATATGGATGGACTTTTCCAAACCATATACATAAAAATTCAAAAACTTCTAACCTTAGCTTCTCCTAAACATGAATATTATACTCCTTCATTGAGTTATAGGTTTTTGTTTCTTACTCCGCTTCATAAAGCTTTATAGAGAAGGAAAATTGAATCTCTTTGTAGAGATAGTAGCCAAATAAAGAGAGCCCCCCTCCCCTCAGTACTGGTTGATTAAATACCGGCAGCAATGCACTGGACCTTTTTATCTTCTTATTTGCATATGTCAAGGTCTACAAAGATTTTCAGGACGTTGAGGTGTCTAGAGAAGTAGTGAGGGCCTTGGTGAAATGCCTACATTTTCATCTTGAGTGTAAGACTGTTTTCCCCAGTTGATATGCTGTGTTGGTGGATCCTGTTCCATTCATCAGTTGTTGTACCTCTACTTACTGTAGTAGTAAACAGCCATAATGCAGACGGTTTTGTGGATCTTTGTGTAATGGGCCCTTATAATGATTTTATAATATAAACAATAATAAATAAAAGTATTTCAGAACAGTGGCTTGATAGCCAAGGAAGGAGGAACTGGAAATGTATTACATTCATGGATTCATATTGGCAGAGAGGTTTGTGGGAAGCAAACTTTAACTGATTTGACATTCACTGAAGCCTTTCACTGCTTTCTGAGAAAGAGCAAGACTTCCAGTTTTAACTGACTGACTTTTTACTACGATTTTGTCTTCTAGATTGTGTTTAATGAAGAACTAGGAAGTCCATTTATTATAGCACACAGTGTTTCATTTGTAAAATCTGATATGCATTCAGTAGCTGTGCTGCTGCTTAGGGTAGAAAAAGATGAATTGGATGCAAAAGGAAGTGGATTTCATATTACCTTGGAATGGGTTACGATTGCAGCGATAAGCAAAGAGGGTGAGTGTTTTACATTTATATTACTGGTGAGTAATGTTTAAAAAAAAAAAAATCATGCTTTTATTCTTTTGTCTTAGAAGTTGATTGTTCCTCAGGTCCTGATATTTCCTTTCCCCAAAACTTCAGCTTGGACTTTACATAGGTAGTTTTTTCTTACATTTTGAGATCAAGTTATCGGTTGTAGACTTAAATTCTGACAAACATTTGGAAGACAGGAAGAAGTGGCGGGGCTCATTGAGAGGGCTTTAAACTAGGTTCGAAGGGGGAAGGGGATAAAACCAGGCTCACTAGAGATGAGCCTAGGG